TTGGGCTGTTGCTGGCCAGGATTTATGGATGAAAGTCCACCCAAAATGCGCTTGCCAGCTTGCTTCACCTCGAGCACTGGCTCCAGAGTGGGGCCCTGGTGACCCGTGTCCGGGCGAGGGAACACTGATTCCATTGATTGTACTCATCGTAATTGATCTTTGGGCTGCAAATTGTCTGGTTTCTCACCTAGGATCTTTCTGCCTTGGATGACCCTTCTAGAAGCATGAAGCCCCTGACAATATGACTCCTAGAATAATTGGAACACTCTAATTCCTCCACCACTGCATGGAGGCAGTCCAGGGAGGGATTACACACATTTTTTTTTCATCCAAATTAGGAAATATATGAGAATTATGCTAACTTTGTCATTTTAAGTCTATAGATTAATACCATGTGTGTGATGAAAATATTACTACAAACAGTGCATCATAATCCACTTTATGAAAAAAAATTATTAAAAAGCTCTAAATGTCATAAATGTATTTTTAAATCAAGGTGGAAAGCAAATTTTTAACTTACAATTTGTCAGTGTAGCAGTGATGTTCTGTTCTGTTATTTTTTTTGTATTTTTTTTATTTTTTTGTCATAATCAAGTGGATTTTCTGTGTACAACACTGGGAAATAAATTATAGATTTCTCAGACAATGTAGGAGTGAAAACCACTGATCACCGGTTTGGTGACAACCTTGGCGAGCCACTGCCTTATGAGATAATCTAACAAGTAATGTGGCATGTTTGGAGAATGATAAATGGATGATTTTCCTCTCTGGACACCTCTGCAGGAGTTTTATCAGTTTCCTGAAGAATTGTGAAGTCTGAGATGTTTTTCTTATAAAGATTTAATTGGATCTTTGCTGTAATTAAGTAAATCCACTAACTACACTGTTTTTTACTTGCAGAACAGAGTATAGTAGAGACTATATGAAGGTAAGCAAGATGTGTTACCATTGGTTGGGCTTTGAAATTATTTTATCTGTCTTTACAGGAAATACACCTCCTATAGGCAGTGGGGCCATTTTTGCAATAGGTAACATGAATTAAAGTTTCTCTCTGTGAAATTAATATTAGCATTTTTTTTTTCTGTGACTAAAAGTGAAATGAAAAATATAAAAACATGTATTTTCTTTCATTTTCTTCACAGTTTGCTCCATAGTTGGAATTTTTATAAACATCTGTCTAAAGAGAAGATGATGGTGAGATATTGTGTTTTATATTTACAAATAATCAGATTTGTTTGTATGTGTAATTCAGCTTTTCAAATCCTGCTCCTTTTCTCTGTTGCATGTTCTGTCCCTTCAACATCTGCATGGTTACATGTAAATGAACAATAAGATTGAACACTTTGATTCCATAGGATATTAAATTCTCTGAAAGTCACTGAAACAATGTACAATCATTAATCTTCAGGGGTTTTATTGTGCATTGACTTAGTTGGTTCTTACTAACAAACCAATGTAAAACCAGGCAGGCATATTTAGTTGCCTAAATTTTAACTGGCAATGTCAACCTAACTGGGTGAAAATGAAAAATACTGCAAAGGAGGAAAATGCACATTAACTAGTAACTGTGTAATAATGTTTGAGATTCTTTCCTTGAAACTAAATACAATCCATTTACAGGTTTCTTTTTTTTTTGCCAAGATCATCAATTTCATTATAATCTAAAATAACAACTTTGATAACATGTAGAAAAGCAGCCTTCAAATTATGATTTCATTGGAAATTGCTAAAAAGAAAACATTTCCTCTAAATTGATAACTCTAAATTGAAAACCTACAAAACAATGTAGGTTTTCTTCATTGCTTTTAGAACATTTTATCCACTCTTTTTAAAATTATGTTAAAGGATTTTACAGCAACATCAACCTGTTTAATCTCATCTTAAAGCATCTCTCTTCAACTTAAATTCAAACTCCCGTATAGATGCCATTTTTGCTCAGACTCTTTACTATTGATGCATTACAGATGCTTTTGATAATTTGTCGACGTGCTCTTAAAGCGTTAGAAATAGCCTCGTAAACAAGTTGAAAGATGTTCAGGATTTTTTTTTGTCATCTGTTCTTGATGTGAAAATACAACACACAATGTTTAGACTGGAATACCATCACTGCTTCCTTCAAGGCGACTTAATGTTATACTAATGTAGAATTGGGTAAAAGGCAGCCTTAATTATGTCAAATGTTACTGGTGTTCGATATTTTTCTTACAGAAACATATTTTCATTACAGTGACAAACCCTTAACTCCAGGGAATGCTAATTACAAATTCATTAAATCAATTAACATTTATTTAAAAACAATTACAAGCCAATAATTCTCACACGAATTTCTTATTTGATGGCACTATAGCTGATAAGACACTGGAGAAGACCTGAAGACGGAGTTATTACAGTTCCAAACTCTTTGTGTCCTTCTTCATTCAGGTATCCATTTCAGATGTATTTTCAGAATACCAAACAATCCTGTTTAAGCTGTTTTAACATTTTTCTGTTTGTTCTTTTCTGAGTGAAATATGAAGTACAAATATGAAGCAAGAAAAAACATCACTGTTGTCAATTTTCTTTTACAACACAATGAAAATGCAACTCTGATTAAACACTTAGTCCTTGCTTTCTTATCTCTGTTTGTGTCTCAGTTGGAACTGGACCCATCTGTTAAGACATCTACTACAGATGAAGGACTGCCAAACTCTGAGTGCCTTACCAAGCCTTGGACCAAGCAAGCAGGCTCCCTTTTATCATTTTCTATTTTTCTTTTCACTTTTAAAAGAAGAAAACCAAACGTTGTGAAGGGTATTGTATTGTATTGTGTCAAAGTAAAATTTTTATTGGCTCTTTAGGCCTTTATTTGAGAATGGTTAAACAGGAAAGTAAATCATGAGAAAAGGGGAAGATGTGGCAAAGATCATCAGGTCAGGATTCGAACCTGTGATGTCTGCATTGCAGACTAAGGCCTCCATGGTGGGTGGTGCTTTATTCCTTTGCCACCACAGCAACCTTAGAGGCAGTTTTTATAATTATTTTTACCAAGTTAGTAAAAATTTGAAAATACTTCTTTTTTTGTTTCTACTAATTATGTTGTAAACCATTTTTCTATTTATGTAAGAAATTATTTTAGTTATTTAAAAAAACATGTAGCTTAGAGTTCTTGATGAATCTTAAGCCGTGAGTTTCCAGGTTTTTCTGTTTTGTGATGTTTTATCAGGACAGACACATAATCCAAGTTGTTCAGGAACGACACAATGGGGTTAATTCAGTTTACAGACTGTATTGTTGGCCGGTGAAAATTCTTTCTTTTCATGAATGTTGACTGTTAGATTTTTGTCCACTTTGCAGAACAATAACAAACCATTTCATTGAGAAAGATTTCAAATCGTCTTTACAATGAAACATTTCCAGATAAAATAGAAGTCTTCTATTTCTGACAATAGAAGAATGAGTGTAAAATATATTTTAGTATTCATATATGAAGATAAACATGTTTATGTTCCCTTAAAGGTTTTTACTACTTATGGTTTCTGACTTTTTTGAACTTTACATCATGCTATAACAGCATTCCGTCAACAAACATGTGCCTGGTTTGTTGACTTGATTCTTTCATGCATGTTTGAGAAATCCTTAAATCTCCCACGGCAACCATTCAGCTTTGCAAAACACCTGGGGAACCAAGGCACAGCCCCTCCTCTTTTCGAGGTGTAGCTCCTCCTCTGAGGTGCAGTTTCCAATCTACCGAGCTTCCGCCTCACAGAGCACCCTTTCCCTGTGACTCCACAAGTCAGCTCCTTCAGACTAGCAGCAATTAGCAAACACCTGATGGAACTGTACACCTGCTGGGCTCATTATACAAGCTTTTTCTCATTGCAACACTGGTGAAAACACTATGGGGTTAAAACAGGAGCAATGTTGTGTTGATTTCCTGAATTCGGACCAGGAAGAGCATGAGTTTTCAAAGAGACAGAAGCACAATTTCAAGGCGTTGAATTGTGATTACAAAAAATTCACAATGCAACCTGAAGTGATCCAATTCTGATTTTTTGTTAAATCAGATTTTTTTTTTTTTTGTTGTGGTCGTTTACACTTCCAAATATATGTGACTCCAGTGTGAACTGCAAACAACCTGAAATTGTCCCGCATGTGCAGTAGAGGGCGAAATAACATCATACATACAGAGCCTACTCAGTGTTTTGCCTATGGTTTTGCCAACCTCCATAAAAAGAAGCGCTTGGTGTTTGAGGAAACAGAAGTGGGTGGTAATGGAGCCTATCTTGTAATTTTGAAGTTGCTGTCCAACCGGAGCCAGTTCATTAATAACTTTATCCTCATTAAGATCCTTCATGGTTGTTGCTTTTCTTCCTGCTTGGGTGTATCAGGACACAGAATAGTGACATTTGTAGATTATCAATGGTGTTCAGATTGGATGAATGTGACCTGGCTGTTTAGAGTCAGGTCACATTTAAAAAGGTAGACATAGACAGATGTTATTGTCATTCCATTGTACATTTAAAAATGTACATATTTAATAAAATGTTGTTTCAAGACTCCAATAATAATAAAATAAATAATAATAATAAAGTATCAATATACATTAAATTAATGCAAGTTTAGTATGGCATGAGGGATGAAGCTGTTGTGGAATCTGGTTGTTCTGCATTTGAAGCTGCTGAACCTTTTCCCAGAGGACAGCAGGGAGAACATGGGGAGGGGTTGTTCTCCCTGCTGCCACCCTTACAGCAATGTGGCAGCAGGCTGCGATCCCTGGACACAGCGAGTCTAACCAGTGGGTTTGAGCCTCTGGTTAAAAAGTCCACGTGCTGATGGAAATGAAGGAGAACCATCTTCATGTTGTCCTGATTAAAGTCTCCAGCAACAATGAAAATAGCCTCATCCATCAATGACTTCCATCAGTGTTTCAAGTCACTAATGGACCATTAGAGCACACTCAGAGCGTCATTAATGTTGGCTCTAGGAGGCTTATAAACAGTAGTGATGATAATTATGGTAAATTCCCTGCAAATATACAATGATCTACAGTTTATGGTAAAAAAAAAAAAAAAAAAAAAACCAAAAAAAAAACCTCAATGTCTGGAGAGCCGTGAAATGAGACCTTGTCATGATTGCAGCTGTTAGTATGCAAACACCACCACCTCGGGTTTTGCCACTGAGAGCGCTGCTTCTATCCAAACGACATATCCCCACAAGGTTGACGACATCGTCATCAGAAATAGAGGAGTTTATGTTTCAGTTTGAATTGTGGCACAGAAGTTATTCATTTCATGACGACATTTCTGATTTAGAACCAAATCCAAGTACCTTGGGTCATATCAGATCTGTGTCACAAAAAGTTCAGATACAGGTTGAATTAAGAAAAAAAAAATCGGATTTGGGTCATTTCAGACCTCTGTGAACGTAGCGTTCAATACTGAGAGTCGATTGTGAATGTTTCTGCTTGAAGAGCATCGGTTCTTTGAAGTGAACGACGGGAGCCGGCTTGTAAGACGTTCATCATTATAAGCCATTCTTCAAACACAGCGGAGTTGGAAAATATCTAAAAATAGTTTAGTTTAATAGTTTTTGTCAACACCGTCAGATATGAAAAGAATTTAAAAAAAAA